TATTATAGAGAAAAACCCCACAAACCCCCCTTGAGCAAGCACTTGGCAACAACGGGGAGGAAAAACTCCTTTTAACAGAAGAAACCTCCGACAGACCCCGGCTCTTGGTGGGCAGCCTTCTGTCTCGATTGAAATAGTAATTAAAGTCATGTTAAACTCATGGATTAATAGCTGAGTAAAGTAATGGATGAATGATGAAATAGGCAAAAGTGTCAGGTCCGCTCGACGGCTGCTGCCTCTCCTCCGCCTTTCTCTCCTCTGTTCTCTTGACCTGCGGGATTCACACCTCAGCTGTGTTGCATTCGTAATTAGCGATTCGTTTGTCGGTGCACAAAGCTGGGGTGCATCCCCCTGATTGACTTCCTCCTTATTTATACCTCTGGCAGACGCTCCGGCGACGGCAGAGCATTACCCAAAGTACGTGACAAATGTTATGTTAAAACCACGTAAATATACGTGTGCGAGAATGCTACGCTAACAGTAACTGGCTTGCCTTTATCACGTTATTTATGCGTTTCGCAAAACGTACTGATATCAACGCTGACAGTCTCTGTGCTGTTGATTTTTGGTTTTTGTTTTGCTACCTTTTTTCACTTGTCCGTCCTCATCCTCCTGCTCTCCTGGTCTTCTTCTCAATCCCACTCTACCCTGCCTGGACTGTATAAGTACTTGGACTGTATTACGTTATTTATTTGTTACTGTGTATTTTTCACCATTACACCACCTGTTTTCACTAGCACCTGGGTCTGTACTCTTGAGTCCAACCACAGTTCTCCCTCACCCTCCTGGTGAGGGGGGACGCTACCATAACAAAAAGTAGTGATAGGTGGTTGAAAAGTAATGGATGAAAGGTTGGAACATATGGAATCAATAGCTAAATGGTCAAAATTCAGTGTCTTGCCCAAGGACACTTCAACACATGGCCTGCCGGAACTCGGCTTCAAACCTTCAACCTTCTGGTTGGGAGACGACTGCTCTACCCACCGCACCACTGTCGCCTCCCCTCCTTGCCTTATATTGAAAGTAATGGATAAATGAATGCAATTGTTAGTATACTAAAGCTTTCAACGACCTAATTAGTTCAGTTGGTGAAACCTGAAACTCTCAGGGTTGTGGATTTGAGCCCCATATTGGGTTCTGGTATTTTAAAGAGCCCATAGCATGCCTTTCTGTGTTGTCAAATTATTATCTTAAACATGACTGAAAGCTAAAAAAATTGAGGTGGTGTTGTACTTTTATGCAGCAGCAACTTGGTTTATACAAGTTGTGAACTCTCTCTGGTGAGACTTTTTTTTCCAACTATGTAAAGTCTTGCATGATAGTTTACAGATTTCCTTGAATGGTCATAATCTGCAGGCAGTTGTGCATTCATGTGAGCTTGCCTGACATCCACGGGTGCAATTTTAAAAGTGGATTTTTTTGACTGCACACCAGTTCTGTGGATATATTTTACTTGCTGCCTGCACTGTGACCAGAGGTTGTGGAGAAAAATACAGGGCCTGAGGTTACTGCACGTCCAGGAATGTTCATGTACAGAGACCCGCTATTTTACCTGAAAGGATCTAACGTGGCGCGGATGGAGTGGCTGGGGAACAAAAAAAATCAGCCAGCCAGTGAAGCACCCTGGGATGGTGGATGATCAACTGATCAGCACTGAATTCCTCCAGAGCACAGTGCCCGTTTGTTTTGACTGCTTGAGGCCAGTGTGTCTTCTGCATGTGATGTGTTGTGGGTGGGCGAGAGGATTCTAACAATCCATGATGTTATTGTCGGTGCAGTGCTACCTTTTGGGAATGTGGTCACCTGTAATGCAAGGGATTTGTCAGGGAAGAGACAGTTATCACCAGTTGGATTTTCCCGGTCATCTTACCATCACAGTTTAGCCCTTGTCAAAGTCATTCAGATCCTTGCACTTAGAGTAGAGTAGGTACTTTATTGATCACACAGTGGGGAAATTTCTGTTACAGCAGCAATAGAGAACAACCACCATAACACCATAAGAACAGACACCACCATAAGAGCAGAACTTCATAAAAACACGGAAAAGAACATGAGGACACACCTGCTGTAACTTGCTGCCACTCCGCGCGGCGCATGCATAGGCAAGTACGTAGTAACAAAGAACACTTGGTCTTAAAATAAACAGTTACATAAAGGCAACAAAGCATTAGAACCCATACACACGAGGATTATAAAAGTAGCGTCATCAGAACGTTACTTTTTACACAGCACAAATAAGCAAATCAAAGGCACCTAAGGCACCGAAAAACAGGCCAAAGCAGCACTGGAGATAATTAGGAACAGCAGTAGAGGCTAAAACAACAGGCATTAGCCTACAGTAGGTCCAGAGTTTTATTGCCCTTTGTGTGGAAGGCTTCCAACACATCAACTTCGAGGACTGAATGCTCACTTGCTGCCTAATACACCCCACACACTGACAGGTGCCACTGTAACAGATAGTCAGTGTTATTCACTTCACCTCTGTGGTCATAATGTTATGCCTCATTGGTGTATATCATTCTTTACATATCTATGGAGGAGAAATTCAAATGAATTAATGCTGTTGCAGTTCGTCATGCTGTCCACTTTCATATTCTGACTTGAACATGTCAAGTACTATTTGAGGTATTGTCATTGTCGAAAATATATCTTGTCAAAGTTTTTTGTTTATGCATTGTCTAGCTTCCTGACTAGCAACAGGAGTTGTGCGCGTTGATGAAACGTTAGTGGCTTGTTTTCAGGAGGAGGCTCTCATTGTGATATCAGGTTTTATCATTCCGAAATAATTACAGACTATTTGGAGTTGTGATGGGTGCAAAGCTAATCTGGAGGTACCCAAGGTTAAAAAATCAATGGCTGGAAATGAGCGTGCCATGGTCACTTTAAGCAGTCTTCCTGCTGTGATTAATAAATGTCTTTGAATCTTGCATCAGCTGTTATTAAGCTACCTAAAAGTAATGAACAAATGGTTCAAATAGCTAACTAGAAGTGTCAGTTGTATAAATAAAAATTGATTGTAGCAACAATAAGCACCTTTATATGCTGTAATTATTATTGGTGATAAACAACAAACAGTGAAAAAAAAAATAAATAAATAAAATTTTCAAAAGAACACATTTGGAACATAGCACTTGGTGTTGACAAGAGGCTATTCACACTGCTGACCACTTAATGAATATTAAATACTTGCGTTTCAGTGCATTGAATGGGTTTCTGCAACATATTCAGGTCACTAGGTGCTTAGAGAGATGAATAGAAGTTTACAGGCTTGACTTTCTTTTGTCTTTTATTAGAGTTCAAAGGCAGCACCAAACCCCTGCTACACTCTCAACACTTAACAGCTGCATTCATCTCAGAAGCACATGTGAAGAAACAAACTCCTTAATTACACCCGGTTTGTAATATGTTGATTCAGTGCTCTACATTCCTAAATAAATTAAAATACAACTAAACACAGCCTGCACTATATTCTCAGTCCCCTTGGGGTAACAGGCAAAAAGCAGGAAAGAAGTTAAAAACATTTTCTGAACCTTCCAAAAGATAAAAATGGAATGATTAGAAATTAGAAATCGGCTTTGTCCTCACTGCCCTGGAAGCACCGCAGCTTTTGTTTTGTATGCATCCCACACTGTCAGCATAGGACCAGTTGACACCACTGATCTCTACTTGAAGCCTTGCTGGCTGCAGCGCAACACAGAGGCACACACATTCAGAGAGTGAGGGCTGGGGGTAGGAGCACTGGAATCGCCAACGCAGCCAAAACACAAGAGTGATTGGATTTTTTAAAATTATGTCATATGACTAAAATAGTCCATCCTGCATGGAAGTGCTTCACACAATCATGTCTCATTTGAGAACAGACTTGTGGCAGGTGACATTCACATTCAAAAGCAGGAAAGAAGTTAAAAACATTTTCTGAACCATCCAAATAAGATTAGTTACCATCTTTCCCCCCCAAATACTCCTTTCCCAGATCAGGTTTTAAAGGACTAAAGTTCATGTTCAGTTTGTTGCTGTTCTCAGTGAGCTGAATCAAGCCCACTGTTTGCACTCTACTGAGAAGACATGTTTTGCACTGTAGTTTACTGCACACTATATAAGATACAGTATATAAAATGTACACCTGTTGTCTTTTTTTTCCCCCAACATTTTCATCTGCAGGAAATGTTTACTGTGCATGCACACACTTAATCCACATCTTCATATTTGACATACTGTATAGCTACAAACATCCAACCCCTCCACTTCCTCTCTAGCCTATATCATCTAGGAGTTTGCAGGCTAACCTGGGTGAGTGTGGCACGCGAGGAAGCCAGCAGCTGGCAGCGCTCATCGTCAGTGCACCAGGTGCATGTAGTCCAGTTGGTTTGGCCTCGGGTGCAGCCACAATCCCATTAGTGAACGTAAGGGAAGCTATACAAAAAGATGCGGATTAAGTGACAGACTGACTCCTCTGACAGATTACTGGATATGGCAGAGGTGGATGTCACCATCTGTTGCATGAGCTGCTTAGCACATGGTTCTCTTTAATGTGTGTATATTTACATTCACTGCTTGGGGTGTGTTGCAGAGTATTTCTTAAACAGACAAAACTATACAAGAGGTGTTATTTTGTGAGCAGTTGGATCCTGTCTCAGTGGTTTTGCTTGTATTGGCTCTTGATATTATTACAACCTGTTTCCTGTCACTGACTGTGTTGTAATGATGATTGAATTGATTTATTCAAATGTAGTAATGTTTATAGCAGGTGGATTTCTGTTGTTCTGAATGAAAACCACAGAGACAGGTGCATCTAATCTGTGCACACTGCAACTGTAGTGTGATTTGGGTCTTCAGAGAGAGAGAGAGAGAGAGAGCACTGACTGAGTGGCTCATGTTTGCTGCAGTCATGTTGAGTTGGAACTGCTTCAACACTGGCTTTGATTGAGCTTTGTCACCAGGCTGGAAAAGATCCCAAAAGTGTTTTGCTCTAGTCAGTTAGCTAACTTCTGTTTGGCACTGCTATATAGGTTTGTGTGATATTTTAAATAGATGAGAATTAACAATTTAAGTTTACATAGAAACGTCACTGTGCCAGAAGTGAATGTTTCATAGGGCTGTGGTAGATTTAGGATCCTGTCAGCAACAGCAGAGAAGAAATAGAAGAAGCTACTCCAATCATCCAGCCTTGAGTTCTGAGTCCACAGGGTCGTGGCTCATGTCAGAGTCCCAAGTTTCAATGTGACACACTAAGTTGAGGTCATTTAAAAGAGGGGTGAAGACACCGAAGCAAACTTGAGGCGTTGGATGTCAGAAAAATATCCCTTCAAAACTATGTAGGGAATCTGTGGCAGCATGTTGACCAGGTTCTGCTTTTCTATAGGTTGTGACTTCATGCTCCCCCCTGATGTGACATATACAAAGAACCACACTCCTTTTGCCTGGGTGAAATAAAAAAAAAAAAAAACATTAAGATGATCTAAGCTGTGTTGTCATTGGCAGGTTCTGCTGGTCAGCAGCAGTCGGCTCCCGGACCAGTGGATCGTCCCCGGAGGAGGCATGGAGCCAGAGGAGGAGCCGTGTGGTGCCGCGGTGCGAGAAGTGTTTGAGGAGGTAGACAAATCTATGCATTAATTTTGTTTTAATATCATATTAACCAAATCTGAACTCCAAAGTGAAGTCATTTTTGTTCAATTATAAAATGAGTAAATGATGAGACCAGACAAAAAAGTCATCATAAATTGTCAAACACATCAGTTTCCCACCAAAACATAGCAACATTCTGTTTTTCTGGATAGTAGTGTTTAACTGTGGTTGATCTTAAACTACATCCAAACACCACTGGCCCATTATATAAGAGGGGGCCTAAAACAGCCCATAAGAAATTTCCCTTTGTATCTTGGTGCTACAGCTACTGTTGTGGAAGTTCTCTCTCTGTGCAAATGTCAAAACTGCAAGATTATGTAATACACCATGTGGCTGCAGAGGATATTACACCTGCAGTGTTTTGGATGTGGAAAAGTCGGATCATGATTATTGTTGTTGTTGTTGTTGTTGTTGTTGTTGTTAGACATCTTGCTAAATGGCATAGATACACATCTGCGGCAACTCTCACCCCGCTGCCAGTATTGATTTCTCATTTAAAAAAACAACATAATGAAATAACTAGAACTGGAGTTATGTGGTTATAGCAATATGCATTCTAAGGGTGAATTTTTTTTGAAGGTCCACAGTGTCAGTAGTTGAGTAACTTGGGGTCCCATCAGTTGAGAACCTTTAGGTCTCCGCAACGTCAGCGGTCTAAACTTGGCTTCTCACTAGATTCCTGTGTTTTTACAGCAGAGACATCAGTGGGACAGTGACACTTGTAAAATATGCTGAGCAGGGGAAAGGACATATGCCTAATAGTAATTTGAATCCTGTGAAGTACATTTGTTTAGTTGTTATGAAAGGAATGTAATTACACTCTACCAAGATTTTTTTATGCCTGGACATGGTCCAGGCACTGAGGCGTAACATTCTGTTATGTTCTCAGGTTGTCCATTTGTCCCATTCTCGTGATCAAGATATCTCAGGAACATCTTGAGGCAATTTCTTCAAATTTGACACAAATACCTACTTGGACTGAAGAATGAACTGATTTGTTTCTGGTGGTCAAAGATCAAGGTCACTTTGACCTCACATTCACCCCATTCCCATGAACTTGACGGATTGACAGAGGCATACACCAGCAATGCGGTAATTCTAGGGATGTGACTAGTGGTTGATAATGACCCCTATTTTTAGAATGACTGTAACTCCACTCAGAATAAGAAAGGTGATTTGTTGCTTGGTTGACAGGTTCTAGTTTAAACTGAAGAAGCTGTTAGGTCAGAGAGAAGTCCCATAATATATTTAGTAGTTAAGTTCATCAACCTTTTCATGCTTGGGTAGTTGTATATCAAAACACCTGGGTGGTCACAGTTCAGTTCATAGAGGCGGACCTGGAGTTCTTTAAAAATGTTGAAATGTAACGCACTATACCTGTTGTTTTTGACAGAGAATATAATCTGTAGTTCAGATTTTCTATAGTTTTCACCCTCTGACTGATTGTGGCCACAGCTACTCAAAACACGGTGAATTGTCCTCATGCTGTCTGTAGAACCAGTGGGAAAAGTCCCATCTTTTTTTTTTTAATTCTTCTTTTTCATTTCTTCCTCAGGCTGGTGTGAAGGGCAAGCTAGGACGTTTGCTTGGTGTATTTGAGGTAAGATGTTCACATATGTAAGTGTGCAAAATACCATATAAAATGTGCACCTTTTTAAAGTACGTGGCAGGACAATTGGCTGATGATCTTTATCGGTTCTGTACCGGAAACAAATTCCTTGTGCGTAACATACTTGGCCAATAAAGGTGATTATTATTGTGATTCTAAAATGGATTTTGCTTTTAATAGTGTGCTATACTGGCATTAAAATTGTAGCTCGGTGGTTTTCGAAAAACAGATATGGAAATCAAATAAATTCACCGATAATAAAAATATGTTCGTGTAAACATGGACACAACATAAATTATGTAAAACTGAAAATTGTGAGGGCAGCACAGTGGTGTAGTGGTTAGCACTGTTGCCTCACAGCGAGACGGTTCTGGGTTCGAGCCCCAGCAGAGTTTGCATGTTCTCCCCGTGCTTGCGTGGGTTCTCTCGGGGTGCTCCGGCTTCCTCCCACTGTCCAAAGACATGCAACATGGGTTGATTGGTGTCTCTAAATTGCCCATAGGAGTGATTGTGTGTGAGTGGTTGTTAGTCTGTGTGTTAGCCCTGCGATGGACTGGCAACCTGTCCAGGGTGTACCTCGCCCACAGCCGGCTGGGATTGGTTCTAGCCCCCCGTGACCCCGTTTGGAACTAAGCAGTATAGAAAATGGATGGATGGAAATTGTGATGCAAACATTATGCAGGTGTGAAGAGTCTCCTGCTGTAGTTCGTTGCTTTTGTATGTGTTTGTGGTATTGAGTTACAGTATCATGAAATATTCAGTTTTGCTTTTCTCCTGATCCCTAAAGCAAAACCAAGATCGGAAGCACCGGACGTACGTATATGTGTTGACTGTGACAGAGACCCTGGAGGCCTGGGAAGACTCTGTCAACATCGGTACAGTTTCACTTTCTTGTGAATGTATGCAGAGGGAGATGCAGCTGATGTGGTGTGTGTCTGTACTCACTTTGCTGAGGGCTAGTTTACATTTTACAAAATACTGGATCTTTTTATGTATGCAAAGGCCCATGTACTGCATAGAGACTGTATCGCCCCTGGGGTATGCAGTGACAACAGGTGCATATAAATCTAGGCCACTGATCTCAGCTGCAGTGGTTCTTAGCTACAGTACATCACAGCTGTCAGTAGCCTGGACACCAGTATCCAGTTTTAGTTGGTTATGTGCTCAGTAGAAAGCATCCTCTATGTGGTAGCATAAATCAGAGCCTGCTACGTCTTTATGGCAAATACAGTATCTAATCTATTTTTTGTAGGTGCATATTTTTATGTGCATGCAAATACATTTATGTGTGTGCTCCTCAAGATGCAATAACTGCCTTCACTTTGCTTAAGTTAATCTTATTAATTGGACAAACCAGTTAGTAGAGGATAATACCATATGTAAATACGCACCACCTCTTGTAGTAACTTGCTACAAAATGTGCCACTCCTGCTTCACATTATGTTTCTGAATTTCAGTTATCACAGGTAATTATTACTTAATTTATATTCGAGAGAGTATCATGGTAATGCACTCATGGCTTATGGTCTCTTGAGCTGCATATATATGCATGTATATATAGAAGGAGAGAGTATAAAAAATTGTTTTGCTGTGGAAAAAAAGCATCTTTGTTGCAGGCTTTATTACATTGGTACAATAACATAATTGAGGATTTGTAAGATACTGTATGTCTTATTGCATTATACTTGGGGAACTCACACATTGTGCTTTGTCTCCCTCTACAGGCCGTAAGCGGGAGTGGTTCACTGTTGAAGAGGCCATCAAAGTGCTGCAGAGCCACAAACCTGTCCATGCCGAGTATTTGCGGAGGCTCCAGCTCAGCTGCTCCCCCACCAATGGAAACTCCATCCTCCCAAGCCCATCATCAAACGACAATTACCCCCATTACAGTGCTACTGCCACCGCACCCGCAACGGGCAGCGTGTTGGGCTCCTCCTGCAGATAGGACTGCACCTAAATATTTAGTCCTGTCCAGCTAGGACAGGTCACAAAAAGTCTGTACAGTCTCGCATGAATCTAATGACTTCTCAGAGTTATGGCTCTGTTGTAAGTATCATTTCTAGTTCTAGCTGCAGGACAGACCAAAAGCTGGTAAAGCTCATATCTCAGACAGAAAAACTATGGATATCATTAACTCAACAAAACCTTTCTTCTCTCGGGAAACAACAGACTGATGAGCTGAAGTTTGGGAAGAGGAAGCTGCAGACTCTGCTGGCGTGAAGGAATGCCTTACAGAAACATTATATGAATGTTGTACTTGGGCCATTTTATTTCACTGATGGTCTTTTTTTTTCTTTTAGAGGAATGGACATGCTTTTTATAAAGCATTTCCATGTGGGGCACCTTTGCAGACCTAAAGATCATCATCAGCCCAGGATGACAAATAGGATGAAACTTTAAAATGGCACCTGCACATTGCTTTGTTTCAAGGATATCTCCTGTTGTGTTTTAATGTGAAGCAGGATTTTTAACACCATTATTATCTTTGTCTAAAGATTAGATCAATTGGTCTAAAATGATAATTCCACTTTCCAACATTGCTTTTCAGATCAGTGAATGGTGGTGTTAAAGTGACGGCAAATAAAGTATTTTGAACAGCTTGTATGAACATCTACAAGAACAAAATGAAATTAAAGTTGCCATGTTAAAAACTCTGCAAGTTGCTACCTCAGTAAACTGGATTTGAGTCATGATGCTGTTCAGTATCCCCTGACACAACACTAATGTGTTTTTAGTTAAACTTAAGCCTGTTCCTCCACATTAAGCTGTTTTCAGATATCAAACCCATTCATTCCTGTGTTGCGTGGCGCAAGGATGAGACCTTATGCCATGCCAAACTGAGCGCAGTGCAAGGTCTCACGTTCCATCCCTGCACGCTGTCCTGAAGTAAAAAAAAAAACTTTAACTTGGGCACAGCTCTCTGTGAGGACGCCTCGATGTATCCATTGAGGAGAACCTGACAGACCACAAAGAAAATGGAGGAGAGGCTGATTTTGGTGAACCCACACCCTTTTCTTCTTTGCTGTAGCTGGTCTTCTCCTCCTCATCAATACAACTAAAGCCAGAGATTTTGCTGACATCGTGCATCCAAGTCCACTGCTGAAAAAATTGGTTGATACCTGCTAACCATCTCGTGGAAAGCGTTTTGGTTGCCTAGCAACTGGTGCCCAACATGTGTGCGCCTTCCCCTGCGGTGAGTGCAGCACATACCGCATCCTATCTGAAAACAGCTTTACAAGTCAGCTAATCTTGACTCGTCCAACAAAGTCACGTCTTTTTAAAGCCACATACCATTTTGTGATTGCTTGCTGTTTCTCATGTTGTCAAAATGAAAGTATTTAACGGTGCAAAGTGCATCCTTGCCTTAGGTATTATGCACTGTCTTGAAGGTTCAGTTCTGATTGTTAAAAAATGGATTGAAATGTTAGTATAATTTTCTGTTAATGAAAATGATACAGATTGCCTGCTCTTTCTGTAAACTGCAGCAGGTTTATTGTGTCTCATGGTGCTGCAAAGCAGTTTGGAAAATGTGATTGTGTTGTCTGTTAATGGTTTGGA